AAAGACGAGATAGTAGTGGTCTCATGGCCATGAAGAATACTGATCTCCCCATGTATCTCATTACCACCAGCTGCCAGCCTGATGAGATGGGGCATGTGTCAATAAAATCTGTTAAGCTATGATTTGGAATCAGGCACCACAGTGATTTCCTATCTAATGAGATATAACATACACTCTAAGATTGGTTAATTTATGGTCTGCTTTTCCCTGGACAGAAAACATAGGCTCAGGAATCAAAATTTAAAAATAAGAATAAATTCTCTTGTTCTTAGCATTTTTATTTGTCAGTGAAAAAATGTTTCTGAGGATTTGAAGTATATGCTCTGATGAATTGGGGATCCTTATGCCACTGAAACAATTATAATGAAAGTTCTTCCTGACTAGGAAAACTAATGAAGATGTCATAGGAGTGTGGGTTGTGGTAGCACAGTGAGGTGAGGATGACTTTGCCTGGTGTATAGAAGCGCTATTTAAAATATTCAGGAAATGTTGAAACTGAATATAGCAAAGTGACTGAAGATTTGAATGAAAGATGCATGTTATCCCTTTAGATGAGTAAAAGATTCAGAAAGCTTTATTTGAGGGGGCACAAAACAAAGGCCTGGATATTACAGTTATCACTGGTCAGTTCAAAGAAACGGTGGATGGCTGATCACCCCTCTCTTGTTTTGTAATCTCTCTCTTCTCTCCATCTCTTTATTGCTTCATGCAGGAACTGCTGCTAGTTGACAGGTGGAATTGAATGGGATGAGGAATATTTATAGTTGCACAGAAATGAATATCTGGGCTATTATTCCAAGATGAAGATAAGTTTGGGACTCTCTCCTCTTATTTAGGCAAGGGGTAAGATAGTCTTTATGTGGAAGATAAATGAGAATTATTAAGCAAAGATATAAATTTATCTTTCTTTTAAACAGAGTATAGATACATACATAGGGAGTATATAGATATTGAATAGCCAGCAAGGTGCCTGCACTGTTATTAAATTATCTTTTGATTCCTCCTGCAGCACAGGGAACAAATACAGAGACCCAGAGCCAGACATTATGCATAGAAAGACACCTTAGAACACACAGCTCTAAATGAGATGTCTCCATCAAATCCCTCCCCTCAGAGGTCAGGGAACCCTGTGGAAGAGAAGGCAGGAGTGGGAGAGACAGAGGGGATGGAGGACATCAGGAGAACAAGACCCTCTAAATCAGCTGATCAAAGCTCATATGAACGCATGGAGACCGAAGCAGCAACACTGGGCCTGTACGAGTCTGCACCAGGTCCTCTGTGTATATATTACAGTTTTTAGTTTAGTACTTTTATGGGAATGCGTGAACAAGTAGGTCTCTGGTTCTTGTGCCTTCTCTTGGGAGTCTTTTCCTTCTGTTTTGCCTTGTCCAACTTTGATGTGATTTTTGTTTTATAATATTATATTTTATTTTGTCGTGTTTGGTTGTTATCTCTTAGAAGCCTGTTCTTTTTAAATGAGAGATAGAAAGGGAGTGGATCCAGATGGGAGAGGAAATGGGGAGAAGCTGGGGGGAATATGATGGGGAATGTACTACTGTGTATGTTTATCTTATTGATTGTTAAATAAAATACTGTTTGGCCAATGAGACAGCAAGTTAGACGGAACTAGGAGTCAAAGAGGATTCTGGGAAATGTAGTAGAGAAGTGCTGATCCAGGCAGGAAGTGACATAGCAAGGAGACTCATATTTAAGTGAAGGAGAAACAAGAAGGGTCCCTTTTTTCCTGTTCGCCTCCTCCAGCGGCAGGATGTGAGCCACTGGCAAGGAGGGACGCCAATAAGGCATCCGATAAGGTAAGTCTTATAAAATATATAGATGTATGATAATTGAGACTGAGCTAACAGATGAGAATCCTAGTCATTGGCCAAGCAGCATTGTACCTAATAAAAGTTTCTGTGTATTCATTTGGGCCCTAACTCAGGCGGGCGGTTGGTGTAAAGCTCACACGTGGTGGTGGGGCTCAGGCAGCTTATGGTGGAAAGATTTATCATAACAGGAATAGAGGGAAGGAAAACTGTAATCAGGATATATTGTATTAATAAAAATGGAAAAATTGTTATCTCTCAGCTTTAGGCACACTGTTCTATATTCTGCTATAGGATGCTAACTTTCAAAGGCTCTGATTTTTTTTGCCTTACTCCCACCTACTTCCAGAAACCAGCTTCATGGTACTTCCTAAGAGATAATCACCAATTAACTGTGTTCCTTCCCTTGAAGTATATATTTTGTCCTCACAGGTACCTTCCTTGGAATTTATTTATTTATTTATTTATTTATTTATTTATTTATTATTGTTGTAAACAGGATCTGACTCTCCAGCCCAAGCTGGCCTGGAACTCAACATGTAGCCCATGCTGCCCTCAAGCTTGTGGCAATCCCCCGTCTCAGTCCCCATAGTGCTTTTATTACAGGCTTGAGATGTCATATCTCGCTTCATTAGAGATTTTGAGGTGTCCATAGCTGAGAAACCTAATCTCAGATGTCTGAGCCTGAGTTTCAGAGGTCCCTCTTCTAGCTTGCTGAAGTCTAGTGACAACTTTCCTACTGTGTCCTCAGAAGCCATGGGTTTTAGGTGCTTCCCACAGTTTCTGTATGTTAAATCAGCATCTCATTTTGTTTTTTTCTGTCCTTCAATGCCTGGCTAACAGCTCTTTATTTCAAAGTTTTTGTGAGAATGATTGGCCTTGTTTCATTTTCCTGCCTGATCTGAAAGAGGTTGCCAGTGGTGTGTTTCTCAGGTTCTGTGAAGAGGGAATGGGAGAGGAGTGTGAAGTATTTATGCCGATGGTTCTCACACAGGGATTGCTCATATCACTATTATTCATTCATGTCCCAATCTCTCATTAGACTAAACCTCATTAGGACAGAGATCATGGCTGTCATATCTCAGGGCCTAACAATACCTGGAATGTGGTATGATTTGAGTAAATGCTTGTCAAACAGATTGAGGGAACAGAAAGAGAGGAAGCAAAGAAATGCAGCTTTCTTTTTTCTCATAACAGGACTTAGTCACCCTTTCCAGGTTCCATTCTACAACAGTGTTGTGAATAAGTTTCAATACCATGACACACTCCATTTATCCCATTTCCCACAGTATGCTAGAATTACATAGCATGGAAAGCCTGAGTGTGTGAGAGATGGCAGTGGTTGGGGGCTTCATGTAGCCACGGACATCTATCAGACAGATCTAGAGAGCTTCCTTGCCCTCGCAGCTCTCAGTGTCTGCAGCAGTGGGCTCCTTAGAGGCACCCTGCAGCTCTTCCCTGTCTGTGATCCTTCTCTAAAGAGTCTTCCCTCCAGGGAAGCTGGTGCCGGGAACCTCCAGAACTCTACAGACTCTTCCCACAATCCCAGGTCTCTAGTCCATAGCCCGAAAGACAGAGGCAGAAGAGCTCCTCTTTTTGTATCCTGAGCACAGGTTCCTTTTCACTCCCTAACCTTTCCCTCAGCCTGGCAGAAGCATCCCTCAGACTGGCAGAAGCATCGATGAACAAAATCCAGCAAAAGTTCAATCACTGATTTTTTTCACCATGCACATTATTTCTCAGGAAGTCAGTGGCCCATGCTTTAATAGAAGTGGGATGACAGACAGGGAGGAAAACAAAAGAAAGAATTAGAAAAATATCCAGCCACAAAGGGGAAGGTTATAGGCCCTAGTGTGGAAGCTGCGATGGTTGACCAGGTAAACGGACATGAATGGACATGGTAAATGGACCTGTCAGCTCTCCTTCTAAATAACCGTTTGTCCCCATAGATTAGTGCTGCTGCGTGCTTTTTGCAGTGGGGAGTGGTAGCTTCTGAGATTCATAACTTGTCATAGCAGAACTACAAATGGGACGCCTGTGTCACTACTTCCAAGGCTCCAACATTGCAGAGAAGTGGGGAAGAATGGAAGAGCTCAAGGTTGGGGTGGAGTGCTGTGAAACCTTCTTTTCTGATCATTGCACTTGGAACTCATGGCAGTTGTGCTTACCTGGGGAGGTGTTCATGAGACCCAATCCCTCTTGAGGATTCATAAGCTTAATGGATGCTGGGGGGAAAAAAGAGACGTTTCCTTCACACCTGTAAATAACCTTTCAATGATGCTCCACTTAGCAACCCCGATTGTGGTAGTTTGAATGTACTTGGCCCCTATAATCTCACAGGGACTGACACTATTAGGAGGTATGACTTTGTTGGAGTGGGTATGGCCTTGATGGAGGAAGTGTGCCACCGTGGGGGAGGGCTTTGAGGTCTCTTTTTCTCAAGCTTCACTCAGTGTGACAGTCAGTCAACTTCTGTTGCCTGCAAGATGTAGCACTCTTAGTCCCAGCACCATGTCTGCTTGCACGCTGCCATCATCTCCTTGGTGATGATAATGGATGAACCCTCTGAAACTGTAAGCAAGCCACCCTCAATTAAATGTTTTCTTTATAAGAGTTGTTGCGGTCATGGTGTCTCCCCACAGCAATAGAAACTCTAACTAAGACACTGATTAAACTTAGTGAGCTGCACAAACACAAGACTGGAAAGTAGAAGGGGCAGGTTAGTAAGAAGGTGATCAGTGGAGTGGAGGACAAGAAAGAGTAATGGGGTGGGTATGATCAGAATACATTATATACATGCATAGGAATGTCACAACAAAGCCAATTATTGTGTGTAGTTATTACATGCTAATAAAAATTTAAAATTTTTGCCACAGAATAGGAGAAAGAAGGATCCATCTTTTGAATTTAGTTTTATTTTTGTCTTTAGTACTTGGTTGTCCAGTAGGTTTACTAACAAGCCAAGCACATGCTGATCTTGGTAAGAAGGTTTTGCTTCTTCACTTTTAATTGATTTTGAAACAGGAAGGGGCTTTAGAAAAAGGGTGCTTTCCCTCTTAAACGTAGCAGGCAGAGTCATATGTTTGCAGTCCTATGTAGTGTTATCCTCAGGAAGTCCTCAGGAAGAAGCCATTGCATCACCCAGATGTTGGTGCACAGAAGGACCAGCAACTTCTAAAACTTTTCGTTGCACATGTCATAGCCCCGGCAGCACCTGAAGTTCACCAGATAGGTGCCCCACTTTATGTTTTCCACATTAGCACAGTTCTTAAAGCAGCCCATGAAGCTTAACCAGAGGGAACCATCCCCTGCAGAAGAGGGAAGAACAGATCAGCAAGGCCAGCAGAGGCTTCTGTAAGTCAACTTCTCTCCAACCCACACTGGCATCAAAAAATCACCATGTGGTGTTCATGCTCCATTATTCATATGTGAAGGATTGGAAGGCATTGGAAGTTGGTGGCTACATAACAGAAAAGACACACTGGCACAGTTTTATCGGAGGTAGGAAGGTGATGAGAGAAGAGCATCAGGGGTTGACCACACTGGGGGTGTCTACTGAGAATCTCAAGGCTTGGGTATCACTGAGGGTAGGAAACTAGAGAAACCATGTCTAATCTTATTCACAAGGAGATGCAACCCGGACATATTGCTGACACTGGACTCTCTGTTTCCATAGCTTGGAGCCATTTTTGAAAAAGCCTGGGCAGGTACACAGAGAGCTGCTTGTGTTACCAACTAGCTGCTCTCCAGATAGTATTTACTATCTGGAGATTACTTCCATCCTCTCACCTGGTTTCTGCCCGCTCTGTTCTCTTCAGGCTTTTTACTGTTGCCTTGAGTATTACCTTTGCTTTAGCAGCTGCCTCCATCTCTCTTTAATCATAGGGAATTATGGAAGTGATATTACCAGCTACCTTAGGAGAGAGGCAGTTGATAGTAACCGGAAGTTCCTATGCTCATCCCCAAGACCCACACATCCCACTTCCTCCTCCCCATCTTTCCTTCCTTACCACGCCACTTACTTTTGAAGATCTTTCCTTCCATACAGGCCTCTTCTGCCATTGCAGTACATATTCCTCTTCCTCTAGAGCACTTCTCCCCAGGGAACTGGAGGTGGCACATCCTACACTGCACAATTTCCACAACTTGAAGACAGACAAGAGCAATGATACTACCGGGAAAGAGCCTATCCACCCACCCTTCAAGTGTGAATCATGCTTAGAGCTGGAAGGCTTTGCCGGCGTGTTTCCCTGGCCCAAACCCCACTAAAGCATGGGCATGTGCCTCTATAACAATGGGTGAAACCAAAAGGGTGACAGGAGTTCATGGTCTCAGACACTCCACTTTGAAAGATGGCAGGGATAGAACGGGGAAGCAGAAGGAAAAGAAACATAGTGCCAAGATGATCAGGCTAGGATTTCTTTGTACTTACCACCATTGTTATTTTCATGAATGAGTACTTTATCAGCTGTTCAGGTGAGACAAAGAGAACAAGCCTGCACTTCTGTCTGAGACTTACCCTCCCCTTGCACTCTCCCACCCCAGGGTTCATTTTGCCTTCTAGCTTGGAGTTTTGAGAGTTTTTCTTTTCCTATTACCACGAAGGTGCTTTTGCCATCATGTACCACTTTTCTCTTTTATCCTCTTCATCATTTTAGGTCCCCTCAGAATCTTCTTCCCACCCCTAAGGGATGCAGCATAGACCAGAAGGAAGGGGCTAAATACACATGGTTTTTATTTCATTTTTCTCCCTTCAGTTGAACCTCCATGATAGTCTCACTTAAGATCAGACAATGAGAACAGACTTCTAAAATTCAGGAGGCTGCTGCCCTAGATTGAGTCACCTGGTTTCTGCAAACCCCACACACTACTTCTCTGGTCCCTTGTTTTTGTCCCTAGCTTTGTCAGTTGCTGCTCTGGTTCTTTGTTAGCCCTAAAGACAGCTCCCAGCCTGGCTGTATCCTGCCAGAAGAGGCTGCTGAATGTGGGAATTATGTCTATTTGTGGTTTACTTGGAGCCCTCAGTGCCCACCCCACTCCACTCATTCTGTACCCTCCCTTCGTCTTCTTCTTCTCATCCATTTCTACTCACGTTTGTTAAAGTCATGTGGAAACGATGCAGAGAAAACTGTTGAAAAAACAAAAAGATACAAATCATAGTCTCTGCAGAGTACACTTTCTCAACCCCCCACTGCACAGCCTCTAGGAATCTCTCAATCTGTTGGTAAATCATCTACTTCTTCCTATGAGCAAAAGGGCTTTGGTTAAGATCCCAGTGACTTGATACAGGGTGATCAGAAGGCACACCACACAGGGACTGCTTTTTTTTTTTTCTGCTGGGTTGCCACGGCTGGCCTTCCTCATGGGAGTTCTCACCCATTCCTGAATCCTGGACCTCTCTCACCAACTGGTGACTCTTAGGACTCACCCTTCAAAAAGCAGAGTAAGATGAGACATCCCATTAAGCGAGGCTTGCCCATTTTGGAGGCAGAAAGTTTCAAGTTAGGGCAGGACGCGTCACTATTTATACACTGGTGAGGCTGATCTTCTTTAGTAGGAGTTAGGGGTGGGACACCGAGGAAGTCTTTGAAAGGCATACCCTGGTCCTACCCTGGTCCATGACTCTAATTTCTTTTCTTTGTAACTTGGGGCAAGAGAGACTGGCTAGGAATGTCCTGGACTTTATTTTTTCCACCTGTCAGGATTTCTGATACACACCAGGTGACTGTTTTCCTGATATCACCTCTATCCTAGTAAGGCCTTAAAGTAGGATTCATGTGTTAAACACTTCTGTGCACATGCACGTATTACCATGCCTGGCCAGTATAATTCCTTATTTGGTCTCCTACAGAGATCTTTCCTTTGGTGTGTCTCTGTCTTCAGTGCAGCCCTGTTTATCCCTTAAGAGCTTCTAACCCTTTTTTTTAGCTATTCAACAACACACACACACACACACACACACACACACACACACACACACACACCAGGGGGGAAGAGGAAAGGAGGAAGGTAACACACATACACATGAGAGAGGGTGAGAGAGAGCAAGGGAGGAAGGTGGGGAGAGAGGAAAGGAGAGAGAGGTGGGAGGAGGAGGTAGGGTGATAACATACACACACACACAGAGAGAGAGAGAGAGAGAGAGAGAGAGAGAGAGAGAGAGAGAGAGAGAGAGAGAGAGAGAGAGAGAGAGAGAGGGAGATAGGGAGGGAGGAAGGGAGAGAGATAATGCATGATCTGATAGTTAACGTTAGTGATTACGATTAGAATAAAAGAAAATGTATCAAGAGTACTTGGTGAACTAAAGCCATGAAAACAGATGAAGCTTCTGAATCTTTTATTATTCAATACATTCTCACCCTGTGGAAAGAAACAAATGTGTCCATATGTTTTTGGCATATCTCATACATATTTAAAAGGAGGATTCAAGGGACTACCAAGAGGGATCAGTGGGTAAGGTGCTTGTTGCCAAGCCTGACAACCTGAGATCAAGCCTCAGAATTCACATGGAGGACATAGAGAACTGACTCCCGCAAGCTGTCTCCCAGCACAAATGTGTAGTGGTATATGCATGCTTTTCTCTCCCCAGCAGAACAGATAAATAAATGTAAACAAGGAAGTAAATAAGTAAAATAATAGAATTACCAAATTAGAATCTTTTATTAAATTTGCTCTTTGGCAAATACACATGTTTGTGTATGTATGTATGTATGTATGTATGTATGTATGTATGTATGTATGTATACATGTATGTATTTTCAGACATATATGCAGTGCATTCTTCTCTTTCTTTTCTTTCTTTCTTTCTTTTTTTTTTTGAGACAGGGTTTCTCTGTGTAATAGCTCCGGCTGTCCTGGAACTTTCTTTGTTGACCATCTATCCTCGAACTCACAGAGATCTGCCTGCCTCTGCCTCCTGAGTACTGGGAGTAAAGGAACGTGCTACTGCCACCAGGCTGTAATATATTCTCAAGACTGTCATCCCTACTATCCTCTCTTGTTCCCCTGTGACCTCTATGTCTCCTCCCCTCCTTTCTGCAAACCCCTTCCCTACATTCATGTCTTTTGTTTTGTTTTGTGACCTATTTAATCCGTCCAGGGCCATTTGTGTTTTCATTCGTTTGGAACTATCCACTGGAACGTGATGGTCTCACCCTGGGCCCAGAACTTGAAGGCAATGGCTATTAAAGAATCCACTAAAAGCCCACAATTCAGCTTGGAAGGGTAGGACCACATAGGCCATTCCCTGATCTGTGATCAGGCCTATCACAGCTATCTACTGCTGCTGTGAGATCATGATTCCACTGACAGACTCTATTATATGTTTGGGATGAGCACTGGATTATCATATTCCCAACTTATAATTTTTAGTTCTCTTGCAAATATCAGGTTTCCATATGGTTTTTCAATTCACATGCCATTCTGATTAACTCTCCCTTCCTGTTTGCTCCCCTTCTTCATTTCTCAACTCTTGTACCTGGTTAACATTCCCCTCTTGCCTCTTGCTCTCTGTCTTCATATCACCTGTATTCTGCTGTTTCACTTCCCTTGAGGCATCTTTCACTCTAATGACCCTTTACTAGCTTCCTGAATTGCTTTAAAAGTATTCATTTTATTTTTAAGTGTGTATGTGTGCGTGCACGAGTGCGTGCAGGTGCCTGTGGAGAAGAGGGTGTTGAACTCCCTGGAGCTTGAGTGGATGTGGGTACTGAAAAACAAATTTAGGTCCTCTCTAAAAGCAATATGTGCTCTTAACTGCAGGCCCATTTCCTGCCTTCTCCAGGTTTTCTAAGTTAAACTCACAAATCTGACAATTGGAAGCTGGGATCTGCATATGAAAGAGAGCATGTAGGTTTGCCTTTCAGGTTTGAGTTGCCTTGCTCAGGATAATTTTTCCAGTTCCACCTATTCATCTGCAAGTTCCACAATTCTGTTTTTCTTTACAGTTGAATAAAATTTCATTGTGTTTACTTACTATAAAATTTTTATTAACTATGCTTCCATTGGTGAATGTTTTTTTTCTTTTTTTATTGCTGTTGTTGTTTGTTCATTTGTTATTAAATAGATCTAGGGTTGGTGAGATGGCTCAGTGGGTAAAGGGACTTGTCCTAGGAGCCTTGTGGCATGGGTTCAATCCCTGGAGCTCATACAAAGATGGAAGGGGAAGGAGAGGAGAGAACTGACTACACAAAGTTGTCCTCTGATGACTACATGCTGTAGCATCTGTGAGTGCATACACACAAACACACCATGCACATGCACAGATACCCAACAAAAATAAATGTATTCTTCATAAGGTATACAAAACAAACAAACCAACCCGTAGTTTCATGGGTGGTGGAAGTGTTTCCATGCGGTGACTGCTAGGTCAGTGAGGCTGGTGGTGAATGCTAGAGCTGGAGGAATGCAACCTCAGTGTGAACAGATTGCCTGAGTGATCATGGAACGAAGAGAAAGTGCCTCAGTTGTTGTTCCAAAGCAATACCTCAGTTTGCTGGAATCTGTCCAATGCCCACAGGATATCTACTGGTGACCCAGTGGGGAAAGAACAACTTCTTCTTCATCAGGGTTTGAAGTAGTGGTCAGATAGGAACAGCCTATCTCATTGCCTCCGGTAAGCAAAGAACATAACTTTGTGTGACAAGGAAAGAAAAACAAAGAACACAACAACAAAAAACCCACACGAAAGAAAAAACCACCCCAACAAAACTATGGATGATATGGGGAGGGGGCAGAAAATGCCTAGATAATACATACTACGCCAAGAAAGAACACAGCATGTCTTTGGAGAGCATTCACATGAACTTTCTTTGTCATGAGACTAGCCAGTGCTCAGACTGTCAGGAATCCCAGTTTTGCCCTTCATCTCCACACTTCCATAGAGTTCCTTCTTATTGTTCTGAGGAATGGGGAAGGTATTAATGACAGTGAAGTGGCTAGGGATGTATGTCTAGATTCCAAAGGTGAAAAAAACCCAATAATCTGTTTTTTGTTCCTATGACAACATAAGGATTAAATGAAATTATCTGAATTTTTCAATAGACTATATCAACAAACATGGCTGTTACCTGAGAACAATTTCTAAAGGTGGTCTTAGCTAAGGAGAAATGAGGGGCTCCTCCACTGATTTCCATGGTAAATTCAATAGAAAGGGGAGGCCACACCCAGACACCTCTGTACAACCTGCCAGCAGTTATTTCTATTTGTTTCCTTTTCATAATTCTGGCATCTTTATTAACATACTTTATTAGAATCATTCTAGATTCTTTTAGTTTTTAAGTTTAGGTTTTTGTTCAAAGAGGAAATATACCAGAAAAATAGCCTTATGCTTTACCTTAAGAAGAGAGAAAACCAAAAACAACTGAAACCCAGGTCAACAAAAGATAAGAATAAGAAGATTAGAGTAGAGATATGAACTGAGATAAACAAAACATGAAATAGGAAAACATTAGGGGGAGATGTGATGGCTGATTAAATGCACACACTGTTCTTACAGAACCCAGGTTGTGTGGCTCACATTCCTCTGTAAATATAGCTTTAGGAGATCCAATGTACTCTTCTGGCCTCCAAAGGCACAGCCTTTCTATACACCCCCATATATGTGCATATAATTAAAAACAAATGAACAAACTTTCATTGGGAAATCAATGAAAGCAAATACTGGTTCTTTGAATAAATCAGTGTTGAAAGACTTCTATCACAGCTCATGAAGGTAAAGAAAGAGGGAGAGAAATGTAAAATTACTAACCTTGAGAATGAAAAATGGCACATTATTTCTGATCTTGCAGAAGCAGAAAGGACAATGAAGGAATATGGTCAATAGTCATACACAAACAAATTAGATAACTGGGTGAAAAACATGTTTCTTGAAAGATGAAATTGCCAAATTTACTCAAGAATAAGCACAAATTTGATTAAATTTTCAACAAGTAAATACATTCAACTAGCAATTAGAAGAGTTTCTACAAAGAAAACTACAGGCTTAGACAGTTGGTGGATTCCACCATGCTTAATGAAAATAAGCATCAATGCTTCTAAAACTCAGAAGTACAGACAGGTGAGGAAGTTTTCCCAATTCATTATGTAGCGTGGTCCCATTCTTAAACTATGAAAAAATTATATGGAAAAAACTAAATTTTAATAAAATTACTGAATCTATAAATACCATAAAATATCTACAAACTTGATTATTGTCAAATTTATTAAAAATGTTACATATATTGAAAAAAAGGAGGTTTATGTCATCAGGTTAATCCAGGATATAAACTTCATGAATGCAATCTGTCTTTTTAATAGAATAATTACATAAATAGAATACACAAATAGGATAAACACAGCAGCATCAACAGAAGCAGATGAATGTCCTGTAAAGGGTCATGTAGTTTGTGGCCCAGGACACTGGAGCACATGTTCCTCCCTCAGCTTACTAGCACTTTTGGAACTTTTATCCCTTAATGAACTGTCTCAAATTCTATTTCTT